TTATTAAATGAAATGAACAAATTACACTACTATAAAACCTGCTGGTGCTTTGTTTAATTTGTGAGTGTAATGAATCTAAAACTGTTTAAATCTTCAGTTTTATATCATCCTCAGTCTTATGTTAGGCGAGGCGCCAGTGTCCAGCAGCCATCACCAGTGTGTGAATGTGTGTGTGAATGGGTGGATGACTGAATGTGTAAAGCGCTTTGGGGTCCTTAGGGACTAGTAAAGCGCTATACAAATACAGGCCATTTACCATTTATGTTAAAATCAGGACAGCATTATATTTTTTGATATTAACAGTAACTCTGGGCCTCTATGGGGCGTGCGGCTGATCTCATCTCTGTCTAAAAATGGATAACAAAAACTAAGGAGTGCTGAATCATTCAAAAACAGGTGTGTAGCATCACTAACTAGGTAGCACCAAGCCAACACAGTGCGTATGCTAGGGGCTAATCTAGCTAAGTAATTAACAGAGTGATTTTAGATGTTGTAGAACTATAAGATGATAAGCTGTGTCTTTTTCATAATAGTGACGTGGTTATATTTACCCTAATTTAACGAGTCATAAGTCGCGGTAAACCCATCGGCAGATAAACAGGAGCAGCCGGGCTACGTAAAAAGTGTAGGGGGGCGTGTATGGGCTCAAATTGTGGTCATAAATATTTTTTACTTGTAAATCAGGATTTGTATGTGTAAAAAGAATTTGTGTGTGTGTAAAAAAGATGTTTGTGTGGACATAGCCAAAAAATATGTGTGAAACGCTGCACTCAAGTTTCAACTTACAAGTATGAATTTTGACCCTCATTTTTCTTCCTTTCAGCTGATTGGTCAATGTCATGTCAATCACAAATTGATCTATCCAATCAGAGAACAGATGGGTTTGGCTGTCAAAGGGGCGCTTTTTTGAACTGCAGGTCCTTGAAGGATAAATGCCCTTTCACGTCTCTTCTCGCCACACCATGAAGGAAAACATCTGTGTGTGTCCAAGTAAACTTTTTCTCACAGGTTGATGTGCTTACACAGGGACCTCCAGAGCGTTTTCAAAGCAGGTCGACCTTGGAGGAAAAGCATGTGGAAATGACACGCTCTTCTCTAATCGGGAGAGTTACAAAGCTTTCCTCGTTATGAATGAGCGATACGTTTTTATTAAACATTTGAACATAATACAACACAAACTCTCGTAGAGGATATAAAGTCAGAGAGATACGCTTTGAAACGACAAGGATCAGGTGCATCTAGTACACCTAGACCACAAAAAAAACAATATACAAGCAGAGCTCAACAGCCAGCGCAACAAATTCTGGATCCTTCCCTCTTAGTTAGCGGTGAGCACAGATCATGCCGCGTCCGATGCTTAGTGTGACTCATAGCAGTGGTCCTGGGTCAACTGTGATTTTGTGTTATAGTAATACTAAAGTAATAATGGTATTTCTGAACACTGGTATACTACAACTGTATCCTTTCAACAGCTACCAAAAGTTAAAGGACCTAGCTTGTATGAGCCTTATAGAATATTTATATAAAGATCCTCCAGCTTCAAACTGTATTACCCTTCAAGGACCTGGAGCTCAGTAAAGCATCCCTTCGACAGCCAAACCCATCTGTTCTCTGATTGGATAGTTCAGTTTGACATGACATTGACCAATCAGCTGAAAGGAAGAAAAATAGGGTCAAAATTCGTATTTGTAAGTTGAAACTTGAGTGCAGAGTTTCACATGTATTTTTTTGCTATGTGCACACACAAATATTTTTTACACACACACAAATTTGTATGTGTAAAGCACATAAAAATCCTGATTTACAAGTAAAAAATATTTATGACCACAATTTGAGCCCATAGGTGTGTTTGCGGTCACGTCCATTGGGTGTGTGGGCGGGAGCGTCACACAGATACTTCACTTCAAGTCTCTACCGGCCAGACTCCAGCTCCAAAAGCGCAACATGGCAGCTCCCATAAGCGGGGTATTTTGGCTTCATTTTTGTGCAATGGGAGGAAGTGCTGTGGCATCGTCCATCTTTTCTACAATTATTGTTCAGTACCATGAAACTCCCCACAGACCAAAGGAGTCTCTCTTTAGTTTCCCTCCACTTTAAAACTGCTTTTTATACTGCAGGTCTTCTGTTTTCTCATCTGGACTCATCGAGTGCATCAACTTTGGTTTAATGAAGGAAATCTTCACACAGAAAACCACTGTTAGAGAATAAGAGCTGGCTATGTAAATGCAGTAATGAAGAAAAACAAGAGAGGAATCAGACAGGATTTTATTTTCCAGTAAAACACCGCTTCATTCTGATACCAGGATACACAATAAACTTAAATAAGCTGATTGGAATAAATGGGAGCTTACGTCATGTTTTTCTGTTTAACATTTAGATAGAGAAGCGAGGACTTTGTTCTCTAAAAGCACCGCGTGTGTGTTTAGCTGCTCGGGCGAGCGTTCAGGGAGAACGACGTGAAACTCTCACGTCACCGAGCATATTCACCTCCATCAACGGCTGTGTGATCAACTTTTACAACTCTGCACTAAAACGAATCCATAATTCTTTTTGATTTTCTCTGTAAAAACAGCTATAAAATATATACCACTACTGCTTTAAATTAGCAAGGACAGAGGCTGGAAACGCCACGTCCTGTCACATACACCCAGTATAAAAACAACTCTACAAAGATTTTCCCAATTTAAAATCTTCCATCACTGCATATCAGCACGCTCCATTTCAGCAACACTTTTGCATTGAAAACAAACTTCTGTTCTTACCCTGATCAGCTAGTTAAAAGGTTTAAGCATTAAAACTTAACGTTGGTGCTGTGAACATACATTAAACAAAGCAGGGTTCAAAGGTCAAGAGCAAAAAAAACGTTTTTGGTCTCAGCTGAGATAAGCCGCTCAATTAACTGATTATCATGATTAAACCCTTTGAAATGGAAGCAGGATGGAGCGTGGGGGCCGTGGCGGCGTCCAGGATGGACCGTTTGGATATTTAAGATAATAAAACAGCTTTGAAAAGTGCAAAGAGTAAAACTGCTGCCAGGATTGTGCTGCTTTACAGTAAAACTCACGTACAAAATTTTAGTGCATAAGCTTTAGGCACATACTCAGAAACACGTATACATACAAAATTTTCTCATAATAAAAAACTGTAGAATACACCTGCTTGAGAACTAACTTCAGCCTTTCTAATAATTAAGTGCTCTATGAATAATAATGCTACCAAGTTTATTGAGGCAGGTTTCATTAAAGCTACAGAAAGCACATCAAA